TATAATGTGGAAATTACACTTTTTCTTGCATAAAAAAACATATCAGACACAAATTATTGTTCAATTATTGTTATTGAGTATTTGTGTTACGACATGTCGTAATACATGTCTGGAGGGGATCTTTAATATTAGTGTGGCAATCTTATTCTGAAACTAGGGGAATTGCAGTGGCAACAATTTGACATTATCTCAACCAAGTCAGTCTTGAATCTGAATCTGACATGCAATGGCTTGTTAAGGCAGCTGGATTTTTTCCCCCAGTGGCTGCCTTAACAAGCTCATGATACACAGCTGTTGAGCTCTGGGGTCTTTTTAATTTGAGTACCTACGGTAATGATCAAACTTGACATTTACCACTGAAGCCACTCAAATCCTGCCAAACAGGTCTGTCTTGTAAAGATAATTGCATAGGTATTTTGAATATAGCACGCATAAAGCAATTCTAAAATAAAGTTTGGCTTGAAGTTTATATATTCAAAATCTGAAAGGAGTTAACCAAAATGTGCTAAGATAATGCAATTAAAAAGAGATACAATACAAATTAAAACTACAGATTGAATGGCCCTCACTGAAGGACAAGACATAATAACACGAACACGTAACACGTTGCTGGGGCTGGTTCACAATGTTCTGATATTATGTTACACAATTCTATTTGTGTGCTGCAAGACTGTTCTGTTCTGCTTTTTTCTCTCCAGCTCCAGCAAGAAGAGACAAACTTACACATATGGAAGTATTTTTCCATTGGAGAAGAGTCAAACAAGGAGAGGAGAGGATGTGCTGTAAATCTGTTACAAACCACTGAAGTCTGTCAGGGATGTCTTGGCATGGTTCCAGGGGGAAATGGAGGTCTTGGAAGTGCAGCCTTTACAGGTTACAACATAGGATTTTATATTGCTTTGTTCACACAGCCTGAGACAGCAATGAAGAAGCCTCACTCAAAAAGTGTGGAGAACGTGCCTTCTCAAAGTCTTACCTCTGTTTCAGCCAGAGGTCACAATGGTGTCATATGTACAACAACAAAGGCCATCAAATTGTTGTTTATCAGTACCAGCCAGGAAGGTGAAGTGAAGGGGGGGCTGGACTTGCATTAATAGTGCTTAGCACTGTGCAGAGTGTGCCATGCTTTTGCACGCTATCGGTAGGCAGGTCCGTAGACTGGCAGACACCAACCTGCAGCCCTGCATCCTTGATTAAACAAACCTTCTTCCTCAGGCAAAAGCACAGGAAGGCGCAGCATCTAGTAAAACAGCTGCAGAGAGGTCGCGTGCCACGCCAGAGTGCCACTGGCTTGTTTTTGGTGAGGGGGGCTCAGGTTGCAGCTCTCATGTCTCCTTGAATCAAAGACTTCTTTCTTCCTAAACTATGACAGATATAGGGTACAGTGGAAACTGTACATAGTTTATATCAACTTACAGGTAAAGATAGGGCTCTATCACATTATAAAACCTGTGTTGCATATTCTGAAACCTTACATCTACACATTCCTCGAGTCTAGCGTCAACATCTTGACATAGGTCAACATTTTTTGCCTAGACAGATTCTACGTAAATTTTGCAAAATCAGCAAATCTTACTTCCCCTGACTAGACGAAGAAGAAGTATTCCCCCCCACAAAGCAAGGTCACATCTCAACCACATTTTATAGATGGCCGAATATAACTTGAGGAACGTAGCATGTCAGAATGTTCCCAAACTGCAGACTCACTCCCCATCAACTGCAGCTAAAAGACATATTCTTATTTATTGTTTTGATCTGTACATTATCAGGCTGCTTTTTTTCCATTCTGAAACCATCTAAAATTTGTCAGCATCTGTTCAAAGGACTTCTCTGTAACTCACCAGCCACAAAAAACCTGTTTCACCAACACAGCTGATAGATCTGGCACGCACCGCCTGCTATATCTTTGAAGGGTTGAGATCCTGTGTCTGGAGATTTTGATAAGTGAGAATATGTGAAATATTTACCCTGATAATTATCTGCCATTGCAATAATTATTTTGAAGTCATCTGCTGAATCAGTTTAGCACATTTATTTCATGAAGCTTCCTTTAAGGTTTGAGGTTCTGTAGACTTGCAATGAACTTTTTATCTTCTTTGGTGACAAACCAATGCCCACGTGAAATAACAGTGACTGATAGTACAGGACATGTGTACACACTGGCCTGACATGGCTCGTGAGTCACCATAATTCCAGTAAGTAGTGAAACCTTTCTAAACCATGATTATAATCACGTAACAACTTTCAGTGATGTTGCCCATTGGGGCACTTTAGGAAGCTCTGATGTGGCCACTTGATTCAGAAGGGAGAGACCCTTCCAGTAAAAGTTCAGTGGCAAAAATTACAGCATGTTTACTGCTATCACTTCAGTGATTAAGCATCACCATAATCGGAAAAATATTCATCTTGTTTTTGTACTTAAGGAATTCCTGTGGGTGCTTTTGGTCTTACTGCTTGCTTAGAAACAGCAGTTACAAAACACTTCTATGGTAATGTTTGGTTCATTATGCTGTATCACCCTGTTCGGGTGATACAGCATATCAGTCTGTTCGGGTAGTCAACTGAAGATCCTGTCAGAATATTTCCCAGTGCTGGTTACTTTTAAACATTCTTTATAAAGGTGTTGGATATGTGTTGTGAATAATATCCACTGGTGTTGGGTGACTTCAGCTGGTGTTGACCTGAAACACTCATTTTCAAATCAGCCAACTGCGAGACAGAAGTAGATCTCTCGACACTAACCTCAGCACAGAGGGTAACCTACAAACTCAAGTGCTGTCACATTTTAGTATAAAGCACAAACAAATGGTTGAAACTAAAGATCAAAAATCAGCAATCAGCAAGACTAAACTTAACTTAATTAATCTGAATATACTGATACATTACTAACAGACGAGCCCGATTTTAAGACTACAGAGCCTTAGCTGACCCCTAGCTCTCCCCCAGCTCTGTATCTGAGACTGCTACTACTTGTGACTTAATAAGGGAAAAACAATTCTGCTAATAGTTTCTCTGCCCGAGTTTTTCTCAAAAGCCAACAATAAAAACAACTAATCGACGCAAGACTCAAAAAATGGCAGTGGCTAGCTATCCAAGCAACTGGTGTGAATCATTTGAAAATGACTCATTTACTTACATTTCAGGGTTTCCCCAGCATAGGGGATGTGAAGTTTGAAGCGATCACAGCAGGGACCAGGGGTCAGAGACGTACATCTGAACACGGAGGTTAATGAAAACAACAAAAGACATAATCAATGTGATAGTCTCAGAATGTGTAACAGTAAGCATCAGCAAGGTTTTATAATTAATTAATTCAACATTATATATTTTCAGAGATGTCACCCCATAATATGTACTTTGTTCAATAAACCTTTAAATGATGTAATGAGAACAAGGCAAATAAGTTTGAAAACTGACAGATTTCAGCTTTGAATTTCATGGAAGGCGATCCGTGGCGTGTAGATAAAAGAGGCTCATTCTTAGGGAGCGAAAACACAACATCTTATTTTCAGGTGATTATACACTAATGAAAACACACCTCTGAATATTATATTCCATTTCTGCCAATTGATCCTCCTAAATACATTACATGAGTGTGATTTTTAAAAAATATACATGATTTACAGTACATATCTATGCAACTAATCAGAATGTGAAATGTTGATTTTGGTTAAAATGATCATTAAAGATAGCTGCTATGGTTGCAATTAAAGCCACCATGTGGGTGAATCCAAATTTTAAATTTAAATCAATAAATGTGGACTGAACAATTATTTGCAGGACAACATACAGTAAAATAACATCATAATAATATTCTATAAAATGTCTACACATCAGTTAAAATATGGAAAAAAAAGCTAATTCCAGATATTGATATCTAAATTGTAAATCGTACAAATTAAGATTGTAAATACTGACAGTTTATTTAGGAATAGTGATCAAATTCATGACTACTAGTGAAATACATCTAAATAGGTTTAGTTTAGGATGAGTAAATCCATCAAATCTACCCCTCTCTTTGATGATAATCTCCTTCAACTT